GCAAGCATAAATTAGCAAAGCAAAGATCTGCCAAGGTTGAATTCCACCAGACATGAGCTCTAATATAACAACAGCTTGAAGATAAGGTTTTATAGGTGCCCAGAGATTCAGTGATTCTACAATCAATTACTGTAGTATTCAAATTCTCTGACAAAGGAGGAAATACAAGGGTGTGAGACCGCAGATCTAACTTCTCTTTAAAACCAGTGGAGACCAACTCTTCCCATCCTTACTGGACATGAGGGCTCGTAACCTGTCATAGAAGCTAATAAAACAGAACATCAAGTCGTTTTTCCGCTTCTGCTGGATCAAAAATACTGCTAATAGAAAACGCCCGGGTGCGATCACAAGTCCCAAGCCTGTGCTTTACCAACCAGCGGCGAACCGTCCCCACCCAAGAATTTAGTAAGAAGAGGGAATCCTCTGCCTACGGACGAAGACCTTTATCTTTAGTTTAACTCTTAGCCTTCCAGTTCTTTAGATTCCGCTCATCCTGGCCTGGAAGGAAAAGGGTCTGCCCCTGCCTTTTTTGATGTGGGGAGGGGAGGGGGAGGAAAGAGCCCAGCACTCTGCATATGCTTAGCGATACCCTGTTTTATTACTGACTCATATTCCAGGCTACCCCACTCCACGTCCAGACCTACCCGCGGTCGTTCCGGCGAGGCAGGCGCGCACAAAGTCACGGCCCTCCCTCGCCAGATGGGGGAGCGACGGAAAAGCCCCTCTTCCCGTTGGTTCTCCTTTGGGGCCGGAGTAGCGTCGGGCGCCACTTCCTCCGCCGCCGGGACTCCGCTCTCGGCTAAGAGGAGCTGCTGGGCGGGAAGCTCTTCGAGGAGCCCCCGCGCAGCCAAGGTGCCCCTGCCCTTCTGAGGCAGAAAAAAGGAGCGGTTCCCTCCCGAGCTCCGCAAGAAGCAGACGGAAGGAGAGCATCGGGCACCGACTGGGAGAGGACGGGAGCCACATCGCCGCGAAGGCGGGGCTTCATGGCCAGCCGGGCGTTTCAAAAGTCCCTGAGCGACGTGGGTTGGACTCTGGAGAACGCATTGTGGTGTCGTGGGTCGGAGTGGGTTTATCGCGCGCTCTCGCGGAGCAGACGGGGCTGAAAAGCGTCCGCTCCCCAGGAACTCTTTTTTGGGCGGGGGCTTCCCCCGTTTTAACTACGACAGAGCCGTTGGAATTGGGGGGGGGGGCCCGCAGGAGAGGGACTTGCCTGTGTGTTGCCTTCCAGAAAAACGTGGCTCGGTGCTTAAAAGAGACCGAGGGGTCGCTACTACAACATTCAGTTCAACTAATCAATTAAAGAATAACTCCAAGACTTAAGACAATATTTCAGGTTTCCCCCTTCTTTCAATATAGTATACTGAAAACGAAAAATAGAAAAAAATGGACGGGCAAAAAAAAAAAAATGTTGAAGGGGGGGAGGGAGGGAGGGATTCAAATGAACATTCGCCTCCCTCCTCCCCAGTTTCTCAAATTCTTTAGAAAAGTCTCGGGATTGCATTTCTGACTTGAAAAGAAACGAGATCTTCCTCTTTTGAATAAATATCAACCTTTTTAACTGGTTTATATTTTAGTTTCACCGGGCTCCATCTGGAGACCTGTAAGGGAAAAAGATGAAGTATACACGAAAAAAGAAGAAGTGGTTTTAAAGAACTGATCACCGTGTGGAACAAATAATAAACAGTTGCACTTCCTGCTCGTGCAGAGCGGCAAAATGCAACCACACTTTCCTCTTTGTTGCCCAATACTGAAAACAACAATAGATACCGTATTACAAACGATTTCCTGTGTATGTGAAACTTACTGGAGGCACCGTTAGATCTTGGTGCTCTCTGAGCTTGATTTTTTTTTCTTGCAGACGTTTCATTACCCAAACTAGGTAACATCATCAGTGCTAGTCACTGTTAGAACTTAGGTACCGTTTTGATGCAAGGCACTGACAACATCATTCTTTCCCAGAAAGTCTCAAGGCCATAGCCAGAAATAGTTCAGCTTAATCTCTGAATAGATGTGGTCACTGTGAAACGCTGCAGTGCATTACAAGAAGTTCAAAATCAATATAACAAAGAGAAAAAAGAGGAAAGCAGAATTTATTTACTGCTACATCTTTACTATCATAAGAAACAACATTCTTTTTTTTTTAGCATCAAGCACTTAAACTTGTTTGAGTATAGTAAAAAAATAGAAACTGTTAACAAAAGATAGCACCGCACATAGTGAATTGTATGGCATGTGCAAAATAAGCACATGTTCCATATGATTTTTATATATTATATAAGGTAATTAAGAAATGAAACACAGAGCCATGCAAGTAGCATTTTTGCATTCAGAACCTTGATTTTGATCAATATCTGAGACCTTATGTTTTCAATAGTCAACAATTTGTTTCTAAATCTGCAAAGTGATAGTCAAAAGATGTATGAATAATATCCATTTATAATTTTATGTACTGTATCTACAGAACTTCAGAATGTATTCTGCCAAAATACAAGTAGGCAAAATGATTAGCTTTGAAAAGAAAGGAAAAATATTCAATGGTAGACTTGGAAAAGCGTATTAGAGTACGTTTTCCCTATATATATCCCCATTGTATCTCCTGCTCTCTTCAATATTACTCTTGCTGCTTTAGTTATAAATAAACAAGAGGCTCAGACACCTTTCCTATTCAGAAAGGTTAGAATATTTGGGATTGGATTCTTTAGTCCAGAAAAATGGTGACTGACAAAGAGAGCATGTGATGGTGTATCATACAGCATTTTCCTCCTCTGTTAAACACTAGAACCAAGGATCATCCAATGAAGCTGATTGGAAGGAGATTCAGAGAAGGCAAAAGTACTTCATCCAGCACAATTAATCTGTGGAATTCACTATTTCAAGGCAGAGGTGATGACCAGTATGTTCAATGGCTTTAGAAGAGGATTGAATAAATGAAAGGATATCAATTTTGAAGATCCAGTATCACCTCTGTGTTGGGATGCAGCATGCCTTGGCATATTTTTGCAGGGGAACAGGAGGAGATGGTATGACCGTAATCTAATTTTCAGTGTCCTTTTTGACAAAATTCTGTAGTATCATGGTAAACAATATAACACCATAATTTAACATTGGAGAAATGTTAATAGTTTCTATGTGGTTTCCTAGTGAGTTAAAAAGTCCTCCAGATGAGCTCCGTTTTGACTCATTTCTGGAAACTCAACAGGTTTGGGACATGGCCAACCACCTCTGGCAGACTCCTCCATTAAATAAGCCACAAAGAAAACACTTTTTCCTAATCTCAGCCCCTCCCCCCCAGATTTCATGTCAATGTGGTTTTACCAACAATTTTCCCCATGTAACTCATATCAGATGAATTTATTCTGATTTAAGAAGATAGCCTGAAGGTCCCTTTGTTCCTAGACATATAAGGCTTTATAGATTATAGCTAGCCTTTTAAGTTGTCCCCAACAACCTAATGCCAATAGGCACAGGAACAAAAATAGAGGTGTAATATATTTGCAGTGTCTAGTTCTAGTTAGCAAACAAAAATGATGAACCAACTGTATTTCCAGAGTGGTCTTCAAAGACAAACCCTTGTGAAGTGCATTGCTGTAGTTCAATCAGATAGTCCCAAGAGCAAGGCTAATTGTTGAGAGGGTCTTTTGCTCCAGATAGGGTTTCAACTAGCATATCTGCAGCCATGTTCCAAGTTATAAATATGCTTCCCCAGTTACCACTTTGAGAGACAACATTACTGGAACCAGCCAAGAACCTCAGTGGACAGATAGCAGTTCTGTTTGGGTTTAGCTTCAAAAAGTTTCTTCCCATTCAGCCCTGATGGCTTCTACAGATTGGAACAGGACTTCAGTTATATACGTTTCCATCTCATATTTGCATGCACCAACAGGCTAATCTTCCATTCTTGTATTCTCCTAATTCTTGGAGACCACATTTAAACAACAGCATTAGTTGATTTGACATTACAGAAGAGGAAAGGGTTTGAGAGTTGTGTATTTCTGTTTCTTTCTCTTTTTTTGGAAAGCATCATATCTGTAACAAGGATAAAAGCTACCATTTTCTTAGTAGCAATCAGCAGAAGGTAGATTTTTCCAAGCCTGATACTCTCCAATCATGCTGGGACAATTCCCAAATTTGCAGAGAGCACATAAGTTATTTACATCTCCACACATCTGGAGATAGATTCAGCCATAGTCTGAACAAAATACAACATAGCTACTGTATTCTAACTGTCTTGGCTTCTTGTTTTGTAAATAAAAATAAAAACATTGTGATTTCCAACCAGGCTTAGAAATAGCTGTACCTTAGGAACATGCTATTACCTTAACATTTCAACATAACCTATAGGAGATGGAGCATTCCCCAGCCCAGTGGTGGGATTCAAACATGTGAACAACCGGTTCTCTGTGTGGATGCCACTTCCAGAAATCCATTCTGGGCCTGGGCAACAAAAAATTAGCTACTGGTTCTGCTGAAGTGGTGTGAACCGGCTGAATCCCACCACTGCCCCAGCCCCAGTGCTAAGTTCCAGTTCTGGAAAGTGTGCTTGATTTACAGGTGATATGCCAATCAGCAAGCTGAAAAGCTTTATTGACTCTCAGTGGTTTTTCATCATCTTTTATTTGCATCCATTCCTCAGGTAAATAAGACATGGTTCCAAATTCTTAACAGCATAAATGTTATGGCATTAGTCAAATGGGAAGGGCATCCATTCTCAGTCCCACCCTGTTATATTCAGGGATCTATCAGGTGAGACAAAACTCTCTTCCGTTCTTGAAACCCAATCCTACGCATGTATCTTTGCTTCAGTCTCATGCAGTTTTCCAAATATGATAGGGTTATAGCCTTTGGTTTGCAAATAATGAAAGTTTATTTTTCTCCTTCTCAAATATTGTTATTGCAATTCTATGCTGGGTGAGCCTCATTGCCACACATTAGTGGGGAGGAATGTTGCTCAGCACATTTTCCTATCTGTGACTTTGATCAGTATCACTCTCATATTGAGGTTCCATTTCAAGGATTCTTTTAATCCCAGGACAGTAATGTATACAATTACATATTTTTACAATCTTGAATACAAAAAAACCTCCCTGTTAAAAACCCAACAACACCCCCCTTTTAGGCAATGACAATTATTCACATTATATATGCATATATTAATAAAGAGTTGTAAGCATTAGCCCATTATTAAAGTATCTCTTAGCAAAGGTACTATACTTACCGAGCTAAAACTATATCACCTTCAGAAAAATTCATACCTGAATTCATTCAAATACATAACTATTTGTGAAGTTTTCCAGGACATTTCAGCAGGGTGGGACCATATTGTAAGGCCTGGTCGGACTGAGTAGAAATATGTCTTAGGCCCTTAGGGCACACTGATCACAAACTGACGTCCATACTGTTTTCCTTTTTTTATTTTTCCATAAGTAAAGTCTGATGATGCCAATGTATGTGCCTTTTGTGTCTAACAATCAGAGGCTGTAAATGAACATTGCTTCTGCAGCTCCAGGATCCAGATTAGAACAAGGCAAGCAATCCCCAAGAAAAACATCCATAATGAAACCCAGTAGTAAACGGGTACAGAAAACCAGGCTCTGCAAATCTCCAATTTAGATCTTTTGACCCTGCCAAGAATACATTTCAAAATAGTCATTTACTGCAACTAAATATTAGAACTGCTATCTATTTCAAAATGAAAGTTCAGAACTGTAGCTCAAACCCCAAAATATATTCATATGTGGAATTCTTAGTATTCTCTGAGCTTGGCTGTTTGCTTGCAGGTATTTCATTACCCAACTAGATAATATCATCAGTCCTACTGAGTTTTGGGGTTTGCTTCCTTTTTATATACAGTAGCTTGCCCTGCCAAAGTTGGTGGGGGTGTGATTTTCTCCTTGGTAGTTCCTTGCTTGGGGAATTGTTTTGTGTTTGATTGTTTGATATTCATCCGATTATCTGGATGATAGCTGCTGAAAGGGTTTCCTTCCTTCCTTCCTTCCTTCCTTCCTTCCTTCCTTCCTTCCTTCCTTCCTTCCTTCCTTCCTTTCTTCCTTTCTTCCTTCCTTCCATTTTGAATGGTAGGAAAATACGGCTTATTTCTATGTCTGTTGGTGGCTGATTTGTCTGGATGCCAAGCTTTCAGGAATTCCTTAGCATTTTTTGGATTTAGCATGGTTGGGATGCTCACACTTTCCCAGTTGAAGCTATGGTTGAGTCTGACCACTTTTGTGACATTAAGGAGTTTTCATGATGTCTTAAAATGTCAGTTGGTGTTCATGGATGCACTCTGCTAGTCTTCTGCCTGTCTGACATACATAGTGGCTGTTAGAGTCTTATATTCTATATTAAATTACCAAGCCAAATTCAAAAATTTTAGGAATTCTTGGAAGCTCGACATTCAGACAAATCAGCTGTCAACAGATTTGTCGACATTCAGACAAATCAGCTGTCAGTAGATATAGTTTATTTTAGACAAATAAACTATATCTACATATCAAAATACACAACAAAAAGCTAAGTTTTTTAAAAAAGAGACCAGAATACATCCTCTCCAGTAGCCAAAATTCAGATAAGGAGGGATTAACACCAGACAAACAAGCAAAAAATGATATTCTAATGAAAGAAATACCAAGAAGAAAACCGCATACTCTCCAACACTAGTAGGACAAGCTACTGTATACAAACAGGAAGCAAATGCCACACTCAATACTACTGATGATGTTATCTAGTTGGATAATGAAATGTCTACAAGCAAACATCCAAGCTCAGAGATTATTTTCTATTGGATACTCATATGCATTTTCCAGATTTATATAGACTCCATTTTCATTATTATTGGATGTGAAAGTAAAGTAAAATATTATGCCTAAGAAATACAAGTTCTGTATCTCTTAGAAGAAGGAAAAAATACACAACAATCCATACATTGCTTAATTCTATATTTGTGCTTTTTCTATTTACTTTTCTGTAGCATAAGGGCAAGAACTTTGGTTTTAATAAATATAAAACAAGGATATTCTCAGCAAGTAAAACCCTGTACCCAATCCCAACTTCTTTGTTACCACAGAAGCATAAGTGGAGTCTACTGAATCAGATGAATTCTATAGTTCAGCATCCTACAGGAGCCACTCCGATATTTCAGAGAAGGTTCCAAATAGCATATGGACAATACTTGCTCCTGGCACTCAGTTGGCCTTGTGTTGCCATCATGACTACTACAATAAACACTGATAGGCCTACTGTTTGTAACTTCACCCATGGGCCTGTTCTTTCCTTCATTCCTACTTTAAATGAATCTGAGCTAGTATCTGTTCTCACCCTGGCAAAACTTCAAAATCCTTGCTAAGAGGCCATCATAGGTGATAAGAACAGAAGACAATATTCACTCACAGCAAAGCATTTTCTTCCAATTCTTCACATTCCTTGTTTGCCTCTTCAGTACCCAATCCTTCAATGAGATTTTCTAAACTTTTGCTAATGTGGCTTCTGCTCCTAAGTTCTGACTCTCTCCTGAAAAAGACAATAGCAGGCATCCTTTATTGTCAGCTCCAAAGAAAGAAACTTATAGCACTGTTGGGGACAACTTCACTTAAAAGGACAAGGAGGCCAAAAGGAAATGCTCACACCAGCAGCTTTGTTAAGCCTGACTTCTGAACACTGAGTCTCGTTTTAGAGTCAGATCAAGAGACAGACAGTGATTAATTTGATTTTCTTTATGATCTCAAACAGCTGCCTTGGCTTTACACAGCAATCATTATAGATGAAGCTGCGTATGTCTGAATGGGCTTCTGCCCACCTACTTTTCAATAGATAAATGCTATTTTAAAAAATGCCTATGCTGAAATGAAAAAGATATACCTTGAGCATATTCTTCTCACATTTTAAAATAATTGAAGCAGCATCATAATTTTAGGAATAATAAAATCAATATCTGTAACTTCCATCACTTGTCTCCGAACCTGACTGAAGAATGTTTTTTTAAAATAAAGAGGTAATTTGCTAATTTGCCTTTGCTAATCCAGGGCTAGATTGGGCCCATCACTTGCTGATCTAGCACTGCATCCTGGCAGGAATTCTTTGTTTCACACATCAGAAAAATAATGTGCCAATGGCCGATGGTATAAAAAAACAACTTTATATAAACACTTAGAGCTAGAGACCAATCAGACTTCTGAGATGTACACAGGACAAAATATCTATGCTTTGAAAATGATCTGGCACAGCTTGATTGCTAAATTAACATATTTCAAAACATAATCTGTCATAGAAATAAACTCAATATGGAAACCATTTTTGTGCCAGAATTATACATAGGCTTCTGCTGCATTTGAAATGTTAGTTTCTTTAACATAAAGCCTTTTTTGCTTGGACTGAAATTCTTAATATTTTAGGCTTTATGCTGTGTTGAGCATTCCTATTAACATTTATATGGTTTCAATTTTTATAGTTGGTAAGTTTGAAAATGATACAGTATATTCAGTTACTTGAACTAAATAACAAAATATTGACTCGTTAATGTTTTATTCTTCCTTTTTGCCTTTGTTTCCTGTTTCCTTCTTTATTTCTCCTTAAAATGCTTAATAAAATGTATCTAATGGAAAATAATTGGAAGTGCTTCAGAATGTAAGGAATCATTAAAGTAGCTTCATCCTTTTTTATGCTGCATGCCTTAATAAATAATGTCTTTTATGAGACTCGTTAAAGATGTACAGACTGCTAATTTGATGTTGTGGTTAAAGCATCAGGTTAGAAACTGGGAGATCGTGAGTTCTAATCCTACCTTAAGCACAAAGGATGACTTTGGGCCAGTCATTCTCCCTCAATTCTAGGAAGGAAGCAATGGTAAACCATGGGCTGTTGGTTTGACCTCTGAGCTTGGCGATTTGGATGCAAACGTTTCGTCTCCATTCGGGGGGGGGGGATAGTGTGCTTTGAATTGTGCTCATCTGCCAGAGCACTGGCCTTTAAATACCTTTTTGTGTGATGTAAATTGGTGTGGGTGTTATTTGTCCGGATGTTTCTGAGTCATGGTAAACCATTTCTGAAAAGTCTTGACAAGAAAACTCCAGGGACTTGTACAGGCAATCTCCGAGGATCAGACTCAGTGGAATGAAAGGGGGGGGGAAGTATCTACATCATTTTTCAGGCTTATGCAGATGATTTTAAAAAAAGATGTGTGCTTTAAAAAGATGCTTCACTCACACTCTCAACGTTCCAGTCTCAGTGTTGGTTAATCTTTGAAGGCCTAATTAAAGGCATTCATACTGAAACCATTTTACCCATGGCAAAAATAAGCATGCAACAAACCCATATATCCACTTTACTAACAGGGAGCTAGTGCATTATAGTGAGAAAAGTACTGGACAAGATATGGGAGTTCACAAGTTGACTGGGCTAGTCACTCTCTCTCAGTCCAACCTATACCAATGGAGGGCCAAACTAAAAGAGAGAACTTCTGGGCTTTCTTGACTGCCTGACAGTGGTGAGATTCAAATATGTGAACAACCGGTTCTCTGTGTGGATGCCGCTTCCGGAAGTCCATCTTGGGCCCGGGCAACAAAAAATTACTTACTGGTTCTGCCAAAGTGGTGTGAACTGGCTGAATCTCACCAATGGTGCCTGAGATAACAGGACCGCAAATTTAATTTAACAAATTAAGATGGAAATAATTTTTATAGCTACATCTGGGAAACAAAAAGATATATTTATCTGCTATCTGCTATCCCTCAAAAGAAAACTGGCTATAGTTTAAGGTTGCTCAATGTGAGGTCCTTGAGCTACATTTTCTATCTTTGAAGCCTTGAATGCAACCCTGGAGACCCACAAAAGTTGCAAAGAAATCAAGGTAGTTAAAGTTTCAGAAAGGAAAAAAAATCATTACGTATTTGGGATTACACTTTTACATTAAGAAATTAAATCATATTTAGCTGTCTGCTCTGGTTTCATTTATTTCTTGGTCCCGAGCTGCTTCCTTCTGGAGTATGTCCACCCACCCCACTACTTAGAAGCCAAATGCAGCCCTTTTCTAGCAGAAAAGATGCCTGAGTGATGCCTTACCCTTCTGCACAATGGCTTCTTTCTCTGCTACTATTTGCTGCTTGCAAGCTTTGCTGTGAGAAGCTGGAGGGGCTTGGATGCAGGATCACGTGATTCTCTGCAGGGTCTTCTTGGGAGAAATGGGACTGTCTGTGGTGGGGAAACAAAGAGAAACCATCACACCAAGGGCTAAGCCAAGCCAAAACAGTGGTCAGTGAGCAAAGCTCCTTGTGTTAGATGATCCCTACCTTTGTGAACCTTCATCTTTGTCAATTGATGGCTTAACCACTTCTCCCTCAAGGCCTTCCTCATTTTCAGAGCTATGGAACTGATGCAGAGATAATTAGATAACAGAATAACAGAGTTAAAAGGGACCTTGGAGGTCTTCTAGTCCAACCCCCTGCTCATGCAGAAAATCCCAGGGCTTTTTTTGTCATAGAACACCCAGAACAGAGTTCTGGCATCTTTTTTGGACAGAACCTTGTAGGGTAGGCAAGGCGGGTTATATGATGTGTATGAGTTCCGGCACCTTTTTTTTTTTTTTTTTTTTACAAAAAAAAGCACTGGAAAATCCTATACCATTTCAGACAAATGTTTATCCAATCTCTTTTTAAAATCCTCCAGTGTTGGGTTATCCACAACTTTAAAATCCTCCAGTGTTGGGTTATCCACAAGTCATTTCACGGATTAATTGTTCTCACTGTTAGGAAATTTCTCCTTAGTTCTAGGTTGCTTCTCTCCTTGATTAATTTCCATCCGTTGCTTGTGAATACAAGCAGAAGTGTGGCAAAGAAGCTGTGACTGGCTCCCATTCTTTAGTACTCCCATCATAGTATCATCTTTTGTATGATTTAAAGCAATTTCAAGACCGAGCATTTTAATATAAGTTTCTTGTCCTCATGGAATCAAGCTGGAAAATACGAGCCACTAAAAGCCATCCCAATTCACTATTCCAGTGGTCCTCAAATATTTTTGTCTCGGGACTCCTTTACATTATTAAAGATGATGGAGAGCCCCAAGAGCTTTGGTTTATGTGGAAAATATCGATATTTGCAGTATTAGAAATTAAAACTGAGAAAATCTGAATATTGCTCTCCCCTGAAAAGGTCTCAGGGACCCCCAGATGTCCCTAGTCCAGACTTTGAGAGCCACTGCCCAAGACAACCTGCTAAATCCTCAAGGTGAAGCAGAGGAGTATGGAGGGGGCCTTGAAGAAGCTATGCAACAGCTGTTATGTAAACATCACCTTAGCCTTGAAAGGGGGAGGAAGAAGTAAGAATGAAAGTCAAGATTCAAGGGGTGGAGGAAAGAATCTCCATCTGGCTTTCAAGACTCCTTTATTATTCCCTGTAATAATAAAGTAGACTTTCAGTTGTTCTTGTGGAGTTTATTTCCTGACCAGTCTACTTCAAAAGAGTGACAGCATGGATGATTCTTAGCTGATGATGCTTTCGTTGCAGAGGGGAAAACTTCTTCCCATGGTCAATGAGATGACAAAACCAAAAAAAGGTAAAGATGTCCCTGCGGGTTTTACTCCGCTAGTCGTAGCCGTGTTCATCTCTGTTTCTGTAAGCCATTGAGTCAGTGATGTCTGAAGATGATTCCACAGCCATGTGGCCAGCATGACATGACAGGGACAAAATTAATGATGAAATAGAGTGATAAGGCTATAGAAAGGGAATTGAGCCTTTCAGCATCATATTATTCTAATTTCATGTAGGTATTCACTGGCCTATAAAAGGGTATAGAAGGACAGTTATGGCTGCACAGGCAATCCAAGTTGCCCAATGTTCAAGCATTTCTGGTTGCTAATAGATATTTTAATATGTCTGGGCCTGAGATCTGAAGAAGGATGATCCTGCCATACCCAGAATGCTGAATAAAGCCAAAAGGTGCATGCAGCTGTTGCATGTCAGTTGTGATTCTTTGTAACCGGATGAAAAAATAGGAACTTTGTACAGCACATATTTTTTTCAATAATGATGAACTTTAACAGAAGTCCATAAGTTGCACAGATGAAAGCAATTAATCACAAAAATATAGATCCTATGGAGAGTAGAAAAAAACACACCATCTAGACTGAAAGGAAATACAAAGGAGCTTCTTTTTGTAGTTTCTTTTTTCATTAATTAATGCTATCTGAAATTTAAGATTGGGGAGAGAAGAGACTTGATAGCTGCAGTTGCAATACTGTACAGGAAACCATTCTTGGACTGTGCATCACTGATCCTTTGGAATACTGAAAAGCATGCTTATCATCTAGAAGATCACTTGGGAACCTTTAATCAAGCTCTTCTTGATTAGGAATGGGGGCACCCAGTAGGAAGCATGATACCTGAAGAAAGCATATAGTCAACAGATAATATCAACTATCAGAGTTTCCCAACATGGTGCCTCCATTTCAAAATTGAAATGCATAATGTTAAGGGATTCCAAATTGGAGAAAGCTGACCTCCTTAGTTTTACATTATTCTCAGCTGGGAAGTCGAATATTCTGGAGACAATGAGATTATGTTACTAGCAAGTTTTCTAACTTTGGGTTAGACTGTAGTAAATGAATTCAGAACTGGCCAACAAAGAATGAGAATGATGGTCAAATGGTAATGGAAATATAGTGAAATCAGCAAGTATCTTCTTGCAAAGGTCTATAGTAATAGAGGGATTCCTTACCGTTAGCTGCCTGGGTACAACTGCAATGCTGACTCGACGCCGAGCTGAGCCCTGGAGTGTAAAGAAGTTTGATTAGTATGCCTAAATCTTGGGATTGAGTGCTATGGGGGAATCATGTTTCCCTTAAAGATATTTCAGGCTCCTTTCTTCAATCTGCAATAGTCCATTTTCCAGGGCCTATATGACAGGGTTCCCATATCATGCTAGCTATGTACTGCTTAATCACAGTTTAGTACAAACATGCAAATATCTGAATTATGCTAAACTCTGGTTTACAAATCACAGTGCATGGTTTCACCCAATACCTGTAGTCAAAACTAAGCAATCAATGTGGAGATGAAATAAAATGAGATCTTTGAGATGAGCAAGAGTTAAAAGACCAACAAGATTGGCTCTGCCCAACAACAGGATAAGACAATAATTTCAGCTTTCCTTCTCTGGAGATGATGAAGCTCAAAGACCAGGCTAGCTGCATTCTGTAACCCTGCCACCATCTCAAGCAATGATTCTCCATTGAAGCAGCTGAGAACTACTCCCCACAATCCTAATCTTCCTTACCTGGTGAAAAAATCGTGCTAGAGGATATTTCAGTCTCTGTTCACCATCATCTATGAGACAAAAATATTTTTTTATGGGAAGGATCATAATTCAGGAGCTCAAGTACATGTTTTTCAATTCAAAGGTGCTAGATTCCACCTGTAGTATCCTCCAGGAAGAGTTGGGAAAGTCTAGTGTATAAAACCCTAGAAAATCAGATAGATTGAGTATGATTTGACATTCAATTTTCCTCAGTAGATTATGTTCCTGTTGGGTCATTAAGGAGCATATAATATGCCACACAATTGACTCACAGCAAGCTAGTATCTTAAAGCAATTTTAAAAACTGACTTTTTCTGAAATGGATAATCATGATTACTGAATCTGGATAATTAGAAAATGCTTATTTTATAGTGTGGGACAAAGGGAGGTTTTGTATGTTGAACAGACTGTTATTTGGTAATGTCAAGAATGGATCTTGTGGAAAATATGGAAGGAATATCAGTGTCTAGAGTCCTCATTAGCCAAAATAAGGGGCAGGCCCAAGACAAGAACCTTGAGAAGATTGGTTTGGGAGTCTCTCCCAGGGTAGCTTGCCATTCTAGCTTGCCAGTAAACCTAGCAGGAGTAGCCAACATCCCAGAAGACAATCTCAGGATCCAAAAAGATCTTGACAAACTTGAACAATGGGCGCTGTCCAACAAAATGAGTGTCAAAGCAAGAATATACAGTAAGCAAATGTAAAAGCAAAGTTTTACATTTAGGCAGGAAAAATCAAAGGTTCAAGTACAGATTGGGCAAGACCTGGCTTAAAAACAGTAACTGTAAGAGGGACCTTGGAGTCCTAGTGGACGATCACTTGACCATGAGCCAGCAGTGTGCAGCTGCAGCCAAAAAAGCGAACACAATCCTGGGTTGTATAAACAGAAGCATAGAATCAAGAGTACATGAAGTATTATTACCGCTTTATAAAACCCTAGTAAGATCACACCTGGAATACTGCAGTCAATTTTAGTCACCATATCTCAAAAAAGATGTTGAGAGTTTGGAAAAAATTCAGAGAAGAGCAACTAAGATGATCAAAGGCCTAGAAACTAAAACATACGAAGAACTGCTGCAGGATTTGGGTCTGGCTAGTCTAAAGAAAAGAAGAAATAGGGGAGACATGATAGCAATGCCACAAAGAAGAGGGGGTCACACTATGCACTAAAGCACCAGAGGGCACAACAAGAAAAAATGGTTGGAAACTGAACAAAAGAGAGAAGCAACCTAGAATTAAGGAGAAACTTACTAACAGTGAGGACAATTAACAAGTGGAACAGCTTGCCTCCAGAGATCGTGGGCACTCCATCACTGGAGATTTTTAAGAAGAAGCTAGACAGTCACCTGTCTGAGATGGTGTAGGTCTCCTACTTGAGCGAGGGGCTGGACTAGAAGACCTCCAAGGTCCCTTCCAGCTCTATTCTATTATTTGAAAACTAACTCTTATATGATTTTTTTTGGTGAGATAAATGTTAATTACACTGGGGAAACCCAGTGTCTTTTTATGCCCCTCATTGACAGAGCTATATAAAAACAATTATAGATGTAAGAGTACATGCAATGCATTCAAAAAATGTAATTGCATCAGCTTAGGAAAGAGGGAGAGAAAAATCAAATGGTTAGGATTTATTTAGTCCTTTCCTTTCTTGCTGCATTCCTGTAGAAAATCTGCTTCTTTGTAGTTAAGTTAAAGGGGAAATTATCAATCAACCAAAGGGAGAAATTATTGCCAAGGCGAATACTGTATTCATTTCAGTCTATAGCGCACACACAAAAGTAAAACTCCCTCATCATGCTGCTCTGATTTAATTGCTACAGGTTTTGATATCTTTCATTGATGGAAGGAACATATTTATTTTTATTTATTAAATTTATATGTGGCTAATTTCCTCTACAAGGTGACTGTTGGGCATATGTCAGGGCTTGGTTTTAAAATCTTTTGATCAGTTTGCATAACCTTAAGAGATAAGAAAGCTTCTTTCCGAGAGAAAACAGTCAGAGCTAAACAAACCTTCTTAATATTTTCCCTATTAGATGGACCATCATGTTAAAGAGAGCTTCAAGGGAATTATGGTAAGAAATAGCTTTATTCCTGCAAATAATGCACAGATTTCTACAGAGATCTATGTGAGATGGGGGGGGGGTGTTTCCACAAAGTCAAAATGGCAACCATGACCAAAGAAGCCATGAATTAACAAAGAGACAGGATTTGTATTGCACAGTCTTCAATGCCGTTTTGATCTTTTGGGCACACTTCACTCATTGACATCTCTGATTTTCAATTGTGAGACCAGAGCTAGAAAAGGGCTGGAATATTAAAAAAAAACCCTCCCACATTTTTAGAATACAGCTGATTCAGTAGAAAGCTTTTCACCATTGTGGTAACTGTTGACATATGATCAAGAAACAAGTGTCCTTCTAACTCCTTTGATATTTTTTTAAGATATGAATCTCAAACAGATAAAAACAAATTCTTCCCCCACTACACCTAAGAACTCAGGCAAATGTTAATAAGTGCTATTCATACACCCAAAGTTTCTTCCTCCATGCACACCAGCTGCTTCAATTTCTTTTATTTCCATCCCAGGCTTTTTTCTAAGGAGCCAGAAGAACAATTCCTAGTCCCAAAACAGGCAACTTTGCAGCGGCTGAGGATAGACACACTGGATGCTTAATAATGAAAGATGGTAGGCTTTGTATTAAACCATTTCATGCTTCAAAATAGGAGGAACCCTAGGACCACCAGAAAAAGATTGGAGGGCCCTCATGTAGGCCTGGAGTCTTGGGTTGCCCAGACAGCCAATCTTACCCTTATTTTCAGTTAACTGCCAGTTTCGGGAATTCTGCTGGATCAGCCTCTTCATATCCTCCAACTCTGCATGCTCCCTCAGGTGATGCCGTTTCAGGTTCTCCACATGTTGCACCATCAGTTCTGCAGCTCGACTCATCCGAGCCTCCTGCAGGAAGGACAGAAAGGTATTAATGTATCCAAGGAATGGAGTAATAGAAGAAACTATGACCAACCCCATCCAACCTTCTTCAAGGAGAACGGTGAACAGGTTCACCTGCTTCAGCCCTAAATTTTTTGAATTGTGCAGATCCTGCATTGAGTAATGACCGTCACCATAAGATAGTCAATGATTAATTGAGCTCATGAATCTTATGACTAATATTTTGCATTGGGGTAGATTTCCATCTCCTGCTGGATGGCTGATTTTTAGACTTTAAGGGAGTTTGGACCTAGTTAGTGGAAAAATACAACAGCAAAGCATTTCTATATTCATATAAAGAAAGTGACATGAATCACAATTAAGGAAGCAATTAAGCTTCTCAAAGGATATTTTACCTTCTATAGTATTTCCAGAGGCTCAGGATGCTACATTTTGCTAAATATTAGCCCATATTGCAGGAGAAAAAGCAGAGCGATAACAACTTGCCTAAAATCACTTAAGGAGAATGAATACAGGGACCAAGTTTTGAGTTGGAGACTTTCTAGTCCTGGGAGAGGATTAGGTTCTCTGTTCAATTTTATTTCATCTAATTTAGTTTCAAATGTGACCTAATCATATAAAACTATCCAGTGGCTAAATTATATGCAAATTGGGTGATTATTTGCCTAAATGTAACTCCATTACATAAAAAATACGTTAGCAGGATTCTAAGATTCTAACATTTTGCTGATGTAGATCCTTATCACCATATGTATTAAAACTGTGTAAACATGCAATTAAAGCCAACTATTTTACTTCCTTTCTCAAAATCTGAACTGTTCTCTGTATTACCAACATACTAGAACAGATTCCATGATACTGCAGATTGTTAACAAAAATTTTCTACTGGGCCTTTTCCATACAGTGATGCTGTTTCTGACAAAGGGAGGAATGAATAGGTATTTCTCTGGAATAAAACTACAATTGAATGGATTGTGGGACATTAAAATAGTGAATTTAGTATCAGGGCCACATAGCTCTTATCTAGGAGCTACAGTCTCCTCAGCTCTTCAAAGCAGCTTAGTGGTGATATCCGAAGCAGAAATATACTACCAACAATGGCACTGAAAACGTGCAACTGCAATGTTATCTTTCTGTCCTGTGATACTTGAAGATAGGGGTAAATAATCTGAAAAGCTTGCAACATGGATTCCATGGAGTCAGCAATGAATCAGTTTCTTTCTTCCCTGGCACAAAAAAAGCCCACAAACTGTGCCATTGGTTTCAATGTGATTTTCAAGAGACCAGAGAGGAATGGGAGGCAGGGGTAGAAAAGTTTGTACTGATAAAACATGAAAAACATGCATTGTTTATAAGCAATCCCTAGCAATATAATTTGCAAGCAGTGGTGGGATTCAGCCGGTTCGCACCACTTCGGCGGGACCAATAGCTAATTTTGCCCAGCCCCAGAATGGACTTCTGGAAGCGGCATCCACACAGAGAACCGGTTGTTTGAATCCCACCACTTCTTGCAAGCAGGTTTTCACTTGAGTTATCTTTTGGCAGGTAAATGCCAATGGATTTTGTACGTGACTTTATCTTATTTTTTTTTTACAAAGTATCAGAGCATTTGCAAATTACCCTCAGGAAACCCTGGTGCTAGCTTGAAATGCGTAGAGTTTGCCAACTAACACCATTTTCTTACTTGTTTTATCTCAAGCTCATCCTAATAGCTCCAAGTTTGTACCAGGGATCTTTTTGTTTCCTTTTTTTTTTGTTTGATTATATATCATCAGGATATTTACAACTCCTAATAACCATCTAAACAGATTTTCTCCATGGTTAATTACAGATAGTCCTCGACTTACAGCCATTTTTTAGTGACCATTCAAAGTTACAATGGCACTGAAAAAGTGAATTACAACCAGCCCTTGCACATACGACCATCGCAGCATCCCCCTGGTTATGTGATCAAAATTCATGTACTTGGCAACCAGCATGTATTTACAATGCTTGTTGTGTCCCAGGATCATGTGTGAGCCATCTGTAGCTTTCTCAGCCAGCTTCCAACAAACAAAGTAAATGGGGGGGAGGGGGGAGCTTGATTCACTTAACAACCGCACAATTTACTTCACAATAAAACTAGTGATTCACTTAAGACCATGGCAAAAAAGGTCAAAATTGGGCATGACTTACTTAATAACTACCTTGTTTAGCAATGAAAATTGTGGTCATGAATATCTCTAACCCGGTGTCAGACACAAAGGCTCAGGACCATTTGCTAAGCTGTCAGACCAGCCTAGGTTTAGCAACTATTCTTGCAATGATCCCATAAGATGGTAATTGTTGAGATTAATAACAATCTACTCACCTTTCCAATAATTCAGAGTTTAAATGACAGAAATAATAAAGCTAGAACTCACCTGATGGACAGCTCCTAATTTCTCTGCTGCACTTGTTGCCCTTTCAATTGTTCTTGTCAGAATTGCTAGGCTATTCTGTAAATGTTCAACCAGTTCCTTATGCCTGGGGTTCAAGCAAGCCTGCTCCAACTTCTGGAGGAATAAAACAGAGTTTCTATTTCAGATTAACTGAAATAATGACTACTAGGACTTCTTCAGTAGACTTCACAAATAAGACAATTCTCAGGATTGGATCAATTCATTATCAATGCAAGGCAACAAAAATTGGCCCAATTCCCTTCAGAAATCTTTATGTGTAACCTTCTCAATGGTACTATACTCATAGTTTAACGAAACTATTTTAACTGCACATGGGTCACAATAAAACCGAAGCAGCAATCTAATTATAGTTTAGCTTTTAATGAAAATGATAGGAAAAGTGCAATGTCTGAATCCTTCTCTGTTGGTCCTCTTCCTTTTGAGATTTTGGGAGCCCATTGCTATTGATGGCTGTAGATTACCATCCTTTGGAATGCAAAAGAAATGGTCAAAAGACTCAAGAAAAGTACTTCACTTGCCTGCAGTACTGCCTGACATTCGGCCAACTCCTCCTGAATATTCTCTTCTGCTGTGTTCCGTGCTCGTTCTTCTATCTGTACTCGCTGTTTCAGGGTAAACATATCGCAGCGTAAAGCCAAAGCTAAGTGTGCAAAAGCTGCCTGCCAAAAAAGGAAGATCATCCAAATTGTACTACTGAGGGAACGCAATCATATTCCACACTTTTCAAAATCAAAACATTTGACCCTAAGTCAAATGTTCTAATTTACTCTAGGAAACAGAAAAGATGGTATAAGATTTTTGGATCCTTATCAATTTCTTATCTGCAATCGTGTTTTAAGGAAAAGTCACGATGTTGTGCATATGTATCTATGCATTTGTATTTCTGTGCTAAACTAGCATGAAATTCATCCGTGTGTAACAAAAAGACAGAAAATCAGTTGCTATAATGGTTAAAGGCTCTCAGCTTCAAGATGGGAGTCTATGAGGTACAGTTCTTTCTTGGGCACAAAATCGTGGGCCAGTCATTATTTCTCAATTTTAGGAAGAAGGCAATGGGCAAGTCACTTCTGAAAATGTTGCCAGAAAACCCAAAGATGTTTTTTTTCCCCAAAAAAAATGTTGCCCAGAAAACTGCATGGACCTGTCTGAGCAGTTTGCCAGGAGCTATGACTCACCAAAAGACACTGATATGAAATGTCACTTTTCAAGATGACCTCATCATCTTAAATTACTAATTGTTTCAGACAATTTCCCAGGACTCATACCCTTTAACTAAGAAAATAGTGGTTCATCCCAAGCAACACCATATTATAGTATCGTTGTTGGGAAATTGGAATACAAATGTTTCATTTCCCTGCTGAAAAATGTCTGGTGTCAAAACAAATAACATGTATTTATCTATTGTATGCTTTCTGATGACACTGTAATGCAGTGAAAAAGGAATTTAAATCATTTGCATCCTTCAGGTATGTAGAAAATTTGCCAACCCAGCCATGGATTATTATGGAAGCTGAACTTAATGCTAAAATTATACAAACATCTTTGATGAAGGGAGATGTTCTTCGCTAAGGACAATATTGTAATACATAGATATAGTTGAGCCTCAGAACAAATACTATTCTACAGGTCAGAAAAAGAGGTCTCCAAGCTAGCCAAGAATCCAATTATTTTAGAACATCCATCTCCCTAAGTCTCAGAATATTTTCTGAAAAATCTAAAACGCTTGAATTAGAAAGAATTCAACCATATGGACAACAGCACTTACCTCCACATCTTGCTCTGTCAAAGATGTCCTGCAAAGAAAATACAAAATCATAGAGTAGATATTAGTGAACTGGCAAAGCTCAAACAACTTAGCAGAGGAGAGGTTCTGTAGCTTCCAACCTGAATAACTTCACCCATGAAGCTGGAGAGAATGCAGAAAAACATCCCCCACTATTGCAACCATGATCTCCGATTTACAGAACCTGTGAGCAAATATATTCAAATTGGTATAGTACAGAGGGATGTAAGTGCAATATGTAACTCAGATTTACACGGGGAAATGTCTTGTAAATGATATGGAAAGATTCTTTATAATAATTGATAATGATTTCACAAATGCTGTTGCTAAGATTGGTACAAACAATTATTGGAGGTCAATTGTATTTGTTTGAATTTTAAGGCTATTTTAAAGCCAAAGTCCAGGAATAGATGCCTTATTTTAAGGAGCCCTTCCCACTCACAAAAAACAGACAAGAAGAGGGCCTGTGAAAGAGTCCTGTCAGACATGTGAATGTCTCTTACCTATGCAGGCCCAGCCTCTGAAGCACAGAAACCTCCACCTGTGAAGTGTTCAATTCGTCTTCAGAGGAATTTGATTCTAGATTTTTTAAAAAAGTTTAACAAATAAAGTGGAAACAACATAAATTAGGACCAGATTTTTTTAAAAAAACAAAGACACTTAGTCATCCATTTAGATTATTTTGGCTAGAAATTTATTGCAAAGATATGGCAGGCCAGTAACTACAGACTATTCAAAAGCCCTTGAAATGTAAGTTACATTCCTGATAAAACAATTTGTTTTAACAGTTCCTGGGCATTTCTTTTTATACAGACTACAATAGAAATCATTCAGATAGGACATTAATCTGGATCCTTTTTTCTAGACTACATGGCCATTCTACACAGTCTGAGAACATGCCTATGGGGTTTGCTTATTTCAATAGAAATTTCAATATACGGTCAACCTGCAGCACTCAAAATTCTAGAGCAGCACACTTGAAGAAAGTTCCTGGTGAACATACAAATAGAGAACATGCTAATCTTTTGGAGATGGGAAAAGTTGGAACTGGGGGAAAAAAAGGAAGTAAACTAGTCTTTCCTGGAAAATTAGGATCATAAATTAAATAGATATATAAAAGGGAAAACAGAATTGGAAGAAACGAAATGAAAGGCAGAGAAAAAAAGGTAGAAAAAAATGGATGGATGGAATTCTGAATATAAAATAAAAATGAGGAGGTGAGAGAAAAAAATAGAACCTATGGAAGGACAATAATGCAAAGGGAGAACAACAAGATAAACTCAATTTGCCACCTTCATCGCTGTCACCACTGTCTTTGAAGCACACTGCTTGGACGCTGTTCCTCTTTGCCACCACAGAAAGCTGCAAAGGAACAAGAGTAGTTACAACCAAACAACAGAAATACACATACACATTCATTCCTCAGGATGGATTAGTCCTCTTATGGAAATGGAGTTAACTTGGAAAGAAGGATCGTGATACCAATCCAACCATGTGCAGCAGAGTGGACTGTAATCAATAACACCAGCTGGAGAGAAAAAGATCCTTCATACTTTTTTAATTTAGAATATTGGTATATTTGTTTCAAGCCCCACATCATGTTACAATAAAGTAACAGAGATTCCAATTGAATAGCATGCTCCAAGACAGTCTTTTCCAACCTGGTATTCTCTATATGTCTTGGATTACAACTCTCAGCATGCCCAGTCAGCCCATCTGCAAGATACCGAATTGTAGGAACGTGTTTTGGAAAATACTCTGAGGGCAGTACATACAGTTCTAAAGCCAAAGCTAAGCCATTCGGGGCCTGATCAATACCTAGCACTAAAAACTGGGAATCCCCTCTTGAAAATGAGGTAGCAACTGTAAAACCATTCCTGTCTTACTTACTTTGGCCTGGCCATCAGAGCTTTGAGTTCTTTCATTCACCATTCTTTCTGATTCTCCTTCTGAGGTGGCCGTTGCTTCTGAAGGAACAAACACAAAAACATACTCTTCTTTTCTTGTGTTCATGAGAAAATTTCCCATTCAACCTAAGGTCAAAATCGGACAACAGGATTGGCATCATCCAGTGATGGGATTCAAATATTTGAACAACCGGTTCTCTGTGTGGATGCCTCTCCCAGAAGTTCATTCTGGGCCTGGGCAACAAAAACCGATTCTGCCAAACTGGTGCAAACTGGCTGAATCCCACCATTGGCATCATCCATATATTTTGGCCATCTTAGGAATAAGAGCAGAATGCTAGAGGACTCAGAATAGAAAATGAGAGAACAAGTAGGTCCTCACATTTCTCTTTGCTAAGTGGGTTCCTTATTCAGAAAATTGACAATGAGGATGGGAGAATTGGCTGACAATACATGCCTTCTAAAGAAAGTAGAAAATCTTAGGTCAGCTATCTCCAATCTAATGTTCTTCAAACATTTTTGAAGATGGGGTCTGAGCTCCCAGAAATTCCATCTGGTATAGGGATGGCAGCATAGTGCTTTTGAGACTTGATCACAGAAGAGTGATCACTCATACTTAATCCACAAAATATTTTTATTTTAAGCAAAGACATATTGAAATAGCAGTAGGGTTGTAGCACCACCTGTGAAACTGTAAAGCAGGGATATCCAACCTTGGCCATTTTACACTGGGGAATTCTGGGAGTTGAAGTCCACAAGTTTTAAAGTTGCCACAATTGGACAACACTACTGTAAAGGAATAGAGAGATGACCTTGGTGATAGAACAGATGAGACTTGAAGGGAAGACAAATTACAATTCAGTCTTCATAAAGTGGAAAACATGAAAGAAAGAAATTCAGAATAACCTGTCTTAGTTTCATTTGGTATAAGAAAGAGAAACTCTGACAAGTTTTCAAGATTCTATTATTATATGCTACCATGATAAAGTAGCATTCCTGGAATCCTTTTGGTGTCTGTTTCCTGACTTAGCCTACCTCAAAGGGATGACGTAACCTTTCATCTAGCGTGGAGAATGTCCAAACCAGCATTAGCCGGTGATCAGAGAAAGGCCTTCTGGTGTGTACACAGGGCAGAGGAATAAACAAGGAATTATGCTGGTGTTAAAGTGGCAGGGAGAAAGCAGTCACTGCATCCAGAATAAATTGTGGCAGGATACTGGATCTGTTACAACTGAGAAATGATCCAGTGGTGGGCCAGAATAGGAAGAAATAAGAGTGAAAAGAAAATGTGGGAGTCAGAGTGTGTTGTGTTCTCTCTCCCATTTAATAGGATTCAGAAAGATTCACTAAGCACTGACTTAGATGCAGGGACATTGGCTCTCTTTGAGATGCAATTACATCTGTTGAAAGCTGCTAACACTGAGCAATGAAGACCCACCAGCCACCAATGATACTAAGCTCTGATCAATCTTAACAGAACATATAAGACTAGCACCCCATAAAATTAGGAGACAGCCTCCCTCCCTAACCCAAGGCTTGTCATTACTCCATCTATGCCCAAGCTGCTTACCGGCATCTAAAGTCAGCACAGGTCCATCCAGATCTCCCAGATGCTGTATCTGCATTTCTTTGCTGAAAGGATAATTAGGCTTAATTATTATGAAGCTCGACCAGCAAAGAGACAAGCTCCTTAATGAAGTGGGCTACCTCTGCCCAAGTTGAGTGTGGAAGTGAAAACTGTATGAGGTTTGTCACTCCAGGAGAGATAACCTTGGAATATCAGGCAGGGTGTGCGATCAGAGGGGCTGCTTCAGGCTGAACCCTCTTCTGCAGAGTGATCTCATCATATGGAGTGCAAGAGGCATCTTTCAGTCCTTCTTTCCTGCCCAAGCCTCACCATTTTCACAGGCACTGCCTGGCATGGAATCAATTGTCTTACTTCTGCAGTAGCCTGCCATTCTCTTCGCTGGGTCAGGCTGACAGCCAATGCTGCAGAGTCTGCTGTGCTTTTCCCTCCCTGGTAAATAGGCTGAAAGGACTCCCTGTAACTGTATTTTCCCAAAATCTGTGAGTCACAGAACCACAGAAATTCATCAAATTTTAACTCTACTAACACCTTCCAGACTCCCAAACTGATTCTCTTGTCTAATCCAGGAAATAGGAAATATATATATAAAAAAAATCTACAAGGCCATCTGCTGGGGAAGGCTCAGAACAGAGTGTAAAGAATAAGAACTGAGTGCAGTAGAATACTAATTTTGCCAGCAACGGTAAAACTTAGCAATTACAACAAAACATACCACTTAGCATGCTCATTGGTCACCTATGATTAGGAAATCAAAAGGTTTTGACTCTATTCTTGGTTCAGCTGGAGGGGGACTACAAACTCCAACATGCTAAGAGCATTGGGAATTGTAGTTCAAATATATCCAGAGGCTACCAACCCGAGGAAGACAGTATTAAGAGTTTGCATCATGGATATGCTTCAGTTCTGTTTCTCACATGGCTGTCCAAGCATGACACCATGTAAACCACAGTGAACTTGGCTCAGTTGGACAATTCACAGTGTAATGTGCTGTGCAAACTCAGACTAGAATTAATTCATGTGTAAGTGAATAATCAAACTTGACGCGGTGTAGCTCCAGATTAATCTTGAAGCCATCTTCGTACATGTTCGAGTGACAAAAATAGAAACCGGTGTTTGTTGTTATCTAAGAGTACTCCAGAACAGTCAACTCGCCATGGCCAACTTGCCTCAGGACAACTCGCCATGGCCAACTCATCATGGGGCAACTCACTGTGGGACAATTCAACAATTCAATTTAATTATTTAAAATAATACAAAATATATTTTATTTTTTGCCATTCGCGTTTCATTTTGTCCCTCCTTTGGCAGCTTTTCTTTAACGATTCTATTCCACTATTTCTTCGATATTAGTGTAACTCTCGTCTCGCGGCGAGTTGTGGTGAGTTAGCCATAATGAGTTGTGCAGATTTTGCTTGCCTTTTATCAGCAGCCTCTTTTGTCATGCTGCATCATTCTCCCCGCCCTCCACTGGCCTTGCAAAACTATAAAATTTAATATTTATGTTTGGTAATAAAACAAACAGGGAGACAGACTCTAAATAAAACTTCCCTAAACAAGTCGGGGGAAGAACTATGGAAAATAGTGATCCTCTAGCACATCTACAGTCTAAACAGCTCATGCCATTACCAAGATTTTTAGCCCAAAAACTCTTGAAGTTCAGAAAGAAATGGAGGATAGTAAAAGGGCCTGATATTGCTCAGCTTATTAACACAGAATCATTGGGTTCATTCAATTTAAAGCTGCTCCACCTCAGCACCATTTCTGGGGGAACAATGAGTATCCCTCAAGTGGTTATACCCCCATTTCCCCGGACCCCTTTGGCAAGGTCCTCTACAAAATCCATCTCCACCAGAAGGCCAGAGAAGTTAGGATTACCACTCCATCAGACATTATTCTTTTCAGACACAGCGATTTTACTTTAGTAGTGTAAGGTCCTTCCACTTTATCTGTGTAAGCTCCCAGGTTGACATCTCCAGGCAGGGTTGCCTGTAACCCTCAATTTACAACAGTTCTTTTAGTGAACGTTCAAAGTTACAATGGCACTTTAAAAAGTGATTTATGACCATTTTTCACACTGATGACTGTTGCAGCATCCTTACAGTTACATGGTCAAAATTCACTTGGCAATTGAATCATATTTATGATGGTTGCATCCCGGGGTCATGTGATCACCTTTTACAACCTTCTGCCAAGCAAAGCCAGATTCACTTAACAGTTGTGTAACTAACTTAACAACTACAGCGATTCACTTAACTATGACAAGAAAGGTAATAGAATGGGGCAAAATACACTTAACAACAGTCTAGCTTAGCAACAGAAATTTGGGACTGTAAAGTGGTCATAAGTTGACCACAATACACGTACGTAAGTACCGTATATGCCGGCGTATAAGGCGACTTCCACGAGCGCTAAAATCGGCGCCAAAGACGGGGGTCGTCTTATACGCCGGAAATACTGGTATTTCTAGGAATGCAGCCCGACGATAAAGACGGGGGTCGTCTTATACGCCGGGTCGCCTTGTACGCCGGCATATACGATAAGTAAGATTAATAATCTGTTCTATAGAGAATGTAGTTTCCTCACAGGCAGCAAATTTGCTCTTACTGCAGGTGTAAAAAGATTTTACTAATATACTTATTCTTTGTTTAGGAGAAGAACCAAGAGAGGGGACAAGAAAGCATAGGGAGACTTTATTTCTGTATGGGCATATTTGTTAAATACTTCCAAGTGGAGGAATATAAGCAAGTCTAATATCATTTCACATACACTGATGGCTAGAGGGGTTCAGGGAGCTGCACTGACAAACGGCTGTACGGGCTACATTCAGTTCAGCGCTGATCCACAGAGAAAAAAGAAGTATTTAGGGCCTCCCAACAGAAAACTGCCATCACCTGGAAGCTGTCCAAAACCTCTCAACATCAGAGCTTCCCTACATGGCAATTTATTACAAGGCAGCAGCTTGACATGCAAATCAGGTCATCATGCGCAGACAATTTTGGAGCTTTGAAAATGCAGAAGAAATGCCGTAAGGCTTAAGCAACTAGATAAACACAGAAGTCAGATGAAACAGGAGTTCAAATATAAAAATGCAGAGGCAGAAAGGGCTACAGGGAAATGGGAAAATGCTTTAAGACAAAATAAGAGGACCAGGGTAGTCGGGAGTAAATACGTATTAAAAAAAAAAGCCAATAAGGTTGGTATGCAATGAAAAATCATGTTTATTTCACAGGAGGAAAATATTTTCATTCCATTCTTTCCATCTGCTACACAGTTTAACAACTCATAAACTATGAGACGCAGCAGAAAGAGCCATCGCCGTCTTTTTGCCCCTATTTTGGGGCCACATAGTCCTAATGTCACAGCAGATGCAGCATGGAGAAGAGACCGACAGGAACTCCTATGGTTTCAGGTTAAATTGAAAATTAAAAAGAAATATCCTGGAAGAATGCAATGGTAAATTATATCCATAATGTTGCTGAGAAAAGAAATCCATGAAGTCTCATACAGTCAAGCTCAAACTGCAAGAAGACTCTCTCTCATCAATTTATATTGTGGTCCTACTCAGCACATAACTCAGGGAGGTGTATATAATCAGTATAGGTAGTCCTCAGGTTACAACGGCAATTGGGACTGGAATTGCCATTCTTAAGAGACATTATAAAGTGCAGTGTCGGATGTCTACGCCATTTAGCAATGGCAGATTTGGCAGTCCCATGTTGCCATTGTTAAGGATGAGTGAGGACCTGACCAGTAAGAATCCAGTTGCTGCTGGCTTCCCCATTAACCTTCCTTGTGGGAAGCTGGCAGGGAACATTAGAAATCACAATTACATGACTGCAGGGGTGCTGCTATGGCTGGAACTCTGAGGACTGATTATAAGTACCCCCCATTTAGCACTGTTGTGAGTTAGAATGGCTGCTGAATCAATGAACATAGGTGGAGAACTATCTGATCAATAAAATCAATAGAAAACACATAATGGAGCAAAATATAAAGAATAATTCAAACAATAAAAGCCAAATCCAGAGAGCTGGGGGGGGAGGGGAATTCATGCAATGGGTCATACACTCTCAGACACAAGGAGGAGGAGAAAAACCAGGTCTTTAATGCCTTCTAAAAGTCACACCTAACCAAAAGCCAAAGATACTGGAATGAATATACATCCTGACTCATTGCATTTATTTAATAATCTGCAGATTATTAAACACATGTCTTTTTCCCCAGGATGGATGATATGGTCCCGAAAGCCAGTAGGAGTCTTGTACCAGTGCTGCAGTGGTGGAGCCGAGTTAATAAAACCTAATCTCAGCCACGCATTCACAAAAACAGAAGCCATGTACGAGCCACTCTATCCTGTGAATACTGTAACACTAATATCAACACACTCATAAGATCCATCCAGTAGCTCTGCATTTCATTCAACGTTTTCACTTGTTTCCTTAAAACAATTTTCAGAATCACTGAAAGTACCATTTACTCTTTTAAGAGTGGCTGACCTGTCATTGACTTACCTCTGGGCAGTCTTTCTTTTCAGGGTCCTAAAAACAAAGGCGGCGGTGGTGGGGGGTCATGGTCGCAGAAGGTATTTCTGAGCTGCATTACCACCACCACTGCCGCTGGGCCATTCCTGTTTTCTGAAACTACGAAGTACCTGTTAAAAGTTTGCTCCTTCTCACCGCCTGTTTATTGTAACGAAGAAGCTCCTGGCAGTGTTGTTCCTATTAAACCTATCCCAAAAAAAGCAGTTGTAATCCAGACCAGTTATAATCCAATCTGCACGAGGCAAACCAGAAGCAGCAGGAAAGGAGGGGCTGCTAAATACTGTGTAGAACCTCTTCTTTTATCTCACTCTTGCTCTCTGACTGCTAGTCATGCCAGACTCCCAAGTGCTAAACCCCTTAAAGTAAGGAATATGATAAAGAAGTGGTGGCTTAGTTCAGGGAATTGTTATTACCACCTTCAATTTATACTTTTCAGTCCCCAGAGAAGAGCTTTTCCTCTAGAGACCTTTTACCCACTTGGGTTTGTCCCATGTCAACCCAAGTCTGGAAGAATTCTGATTCTCTTCTGACTTCAGGACACAACCTGCATTTGCGTATCATTGTACAAGTTCAATAAAGGGACAATAAAGTGATTCCAACGGATTGAATTGACATCCATCTATTTTTTCAAAGTTATGCACAGAGATTTTTACAGAGTCTCAAGGAGACATTTGTTGTTGAAAATAATTCTATCGTAGGGTTCAGAAAGTGACATACAACGTGCGATTTAAATCCATAGTGCATAAAATACACTCACCAATAAAAGCAAATAAATCAAAAGAAAGGAAGGAGAGCAGAATGGGAACAGTTAAATACTATCTACTCATGGTTGCTTTTTCCCCTCAGGCCCCATCAAGTACATAGTTAGCTAGCATATTTAAAAGTATTTCCCCATTTGTATATCAAAGGTTTAAATAACTGACTTACCCTAAAGAAGGACTTTGAGTGTCATCAAGCAAAGAGAATCTAAAGTGTGACGAGCCAAGAGGAAGGCCCTTAGAAAAGCTCTTCCTCTTTCTCTGGAGGTACCCAAGGTGGACAGCAACAGCAACACCAGTCCCTGCTCTGCCCCTAAGCAAAGCTGCCGATCTTCTGAAGATCAGAAGATCCTGGGCTGCCCCTCCTGCTCTAAGGCAGATGCTCTACTAACCAGGCTCTGCTTCTAAGGAATGCACTTTTTCTGCTGCTGGAGAAGCCCCTTGTTTATAGGAGGGATGACGGCTGTCTTGTAAACACGGCCTGCTGGTGATGGTTTAGCTCTTTCTGGTTGTATGCTAACAGAGGTTAACCTTGAACGGAGAGTTAACCCTCTCTCGTGCTGCAGAAAGGAAATTCCCCTCTGCTGATCAAGGAACAAGAGAATATTTTCCCAAGGTTGGGAATACCATGAAAGGAAACCTGTAAAGAACATCGCTGTTGTTCCTCGACGCTTATCATTTTTGGAATCACATCAACATACTTGAGACATCTCAACTGCT